GAAATATAGTTTCTAAGTCATGGGAAAAACCCTCCTACTGTATTGTGTATCATGCACAGGGAGGTGGAAAAAAAACCAGACTAAGCACATGTCCTTGAAATAATCTTTTTTTAATGACCTGCAGAAACAAAAATAACTAAGATAGTCTAATGGAATGGCTACTAATTAGAAAATAGTTGGAGGGAGCCTCATAGGTGCCTGACTCAGGACTTTGCGCAGCACTTCTTTTCTTCCTCTTGAAACCTGCTTATCTTGCAAGATACCCAGGCTCAACTTTGCAAGAGCATAACAAAAGGATCTTGCCATATAGAGTGACTTGCCATATTTCCCTCCATAATACATTTTTAAACATATAAGATGCAGGCTGCATGATGATATCATATCTCTGCATGCCAGCTGGGAATTCTGAGAGGTTAAGACTGCTTTAAATGAAGAATGAGCCTCATTTTTCATATTATGTAAAGCAGTCAATCTCCCAGAATACCTACCTGGCTTACCGAGATTCAGTATCATTGCACTGTTTACACCACGTGTGTTTTAAAAAATTCAGTTCTCCTATTCTTCACTCATTACATAGGACAGCATTAGTTAAGTTTTTTCAGTCTATTGCAGGGACTGAATGAAAAACAAATCCCAAAATCTTATTGATAGGATTTTTTTTTAACTTAACAAGACATCACTAGAATATATTTTGGAACATATAGTTACTATGGCATATATTGGTAATCTCCTTCTTCTGTGTTTAGTACAGTCGTGCTTGGTTCACCTCTTTCTTATGCAACCAATCCTGAGTGTTCTTCACCACGAACACAATCGGAACTGTTATTTTACATGGATCCTACATTTTGTGATTCTGCCTTTGCCAAATAAACCCTCTTACAATTGCGGAGGATGCTGATAGATTTTTGATAGAGCAACATTTTTTCTTCTTTTTAGCCACTCCAAATTGCCACTTTTTCATATCAATGTGGAAAATTCTGGGCAAAGGTGATGTGGCTTTCTAACATGAACCAGGGGGACTTTGATACTATATATCACCTAATAACTGCTGACAACACGTTCCAAGCAGTAGCAGATAGCAATGTCCTAAGAACAGTAGCTATATGATCCAGCTTACCTCTGTTGGCCACCTAGAGAAACACTGAAATGCTGACCTACAATTTTATAATACCTGAGTTAGAAGGAACATAAAAAGCTAATTCTTGTTTAAATCAAAGTTGGCATTTGCATCAATTGCAGCTTGATATAATGTGCCTGTTTTAACAATTCTTCAGTAAAACCACTATTTTGATTTCATGCGAAATTTTTTTAAAAGATGGTGCAAGAAGAGATATGTGGATCATCAAATGTGCTTTATTTTACAGTTCCCTTTGGCAGTGCAGTTTTCCAGTCCAGTGGGTTCTTTTCTATAAAAACACAAAATGTATTTAAACGGGTGAAGTAATAGGAGTTGCACTTATTTTTTTAAAAACTGCATACTGCCAATTCTTCTAAAATGCCATGGGTGTTCACACTAACCCTTAGTACTGAAGAGAAAAAGCAATTAAACCAGTAGTCAGTGAATGCTAGAAGAATGTTATAACGTGGCAATTCTTTCTTGGTTGCTAACCCAGTGGGTTCTGGATGAGCTGTTGGACTAGGACTGTAGAACTGGAAAGACCCATGCTCTAATCCAACCTGCACTAGGTAACTTTGGATCAGCCATTCCTCACCTCACAGGATTGAGGGGAAAAAATGGGAGAAAGGAGCATCATGGATGCCAATCTGAGTTGTGCAATATAAATTGTATACATACATACATACATGTGGGGATGTGCAACTGAGGCAAAAGAAGGTACTCTGTAATGCAATCATTTATTACCACAGTAAAAAAAGCAAAAGTGCGTGAAACCCACTACCATTCAGAAATAATATCCAAACAGAATGGCGGACAAGGGGGAAATGTTCCAAGAATGACCGGTCCTTTATGGTTAGCCATATGATGCTTGGATTCCTTGGCGGTTGAGACTGTCATTGGAATGTCACGGAATGCTTTAATGATTGTACTGAGCTGATTGAAATTGAAATCCATTGGTTAATTCTTGATAGCACTAGGCATCTCTGGCTTCTTCTTCTATGTGGCATCTTCCACGTATTAGTGATAAAGATTTTCTCCAGAGCAATTAAAAAGAATAGGATCCTCAACCAATTGTGATGGTCTCCCAAACAGAACCATGGACCAGAAGCTCAGTGCAGTGACATGGATTTAACTTCCTAAAAGCAAGAAAGATTGGGGCCACCCATACTTAAAGTGTTCCATAAGGCAGAGCCACCAATGAGAAAGCCTGTTACCTGGTCTATGCCCAGTGAATCTTATGGAGTGGGGGAATCCCCACAGACATGCCCAGGAAATTCAAACAGAACAAGCAGATTTTGACTAGGCATTGCCTCATATAAACTGGTGGCCCCCTCAGCCACACCTTTCATACATTTGTATCAAACATACCAAGCTGTCATCCAGCTTCTAATGCGTACCAGCTTTGCTTTTCTGCCTTCCCACATACACTCTACTGTGCCAAGACTGCTGATAGCACTCCATCCTCCTCCGTCTGGACAAGAATCTTCATATATGTATTCTGCCTGCTCCCAGTTTCTATCCTTGACATTCTCCTTTTTTCATATGCACAGTAATGTCTACGGAAGCCATTGTGGCCTTGATGTCAGAAAACCACTCTTGATGTATACACTTGTTCAATTTGCATCTATTCTGCAGCAGTCAATGATCATCTTTATAGTTAATGCACCCATCAATCTTTTTCTTTTTTCTCTGTGGAGACATACCATCTCTTATGATCACAGAAGTCATTAATTTTGTTGTGTTGATGCTCCTTTTGTCAAACATGTTTCTGGAGAGAACTGCAAACCAGCTCTGAACCACCTTTATATATGCATGTTTTTCAGTACAAGCTAATAATTTGATCGGGGGAAATCCCAAGCTAAAACAGTACTATACTGGTGAAAGAGTGATTAATTATGTCCTTCAGTTAGTATGTTATGTAGAGATGAACCTCAAAAGGTGATAAAGAAAAATAGTGTATTATTTGTAAAAGGACTCTAGTTCTGGTTGCTATATCTATTTGAAGAGTTGCATTTATAAGAATGTGGTTACTGATTTTTTCAGTTTAAGGCCAGACATGATTTTTCTCCTCCAGGAAAGTTTGTATAGATTGTGTACCTGTTCTTCTAACAGTGCTCTATCAAAGAGAAAGGTCATTATGGCATTTTATTAAAAGGATAAGAAAGTAATTAGCAAGAAAAGAAATATACATACTAAAGAATTGTCTTGGACAGTTATTTTTATCACCAATCTAGCAGTTTGTTGGCTTTCCAATAAAAACAAGGTGTCAAACAATGTTTGATAACAGAAATAGATCTAATTACAGTTCAGGAGAAGTAACTGGGTATTTTAAATGTTATTAATAGAACAAAGCTTTAATTTTTTTTTACTATGCTTTCTGTTTAGCAGATACGTTTCCTTTCATTCCAGTTAAGCGTTCTCTCCATGCCACATGCTATAGCATGAGATAGCAAAAATAATTTCTAAATGTTCACAGTTGACTTGTGCTTAATTGCTACAATTTATTATTTTCCTAAATAATTGTTTCCTGAATGTTTACTCACTTTACAGCCTTCTCAGCATTCATTCCCATGAAAAGATTGCTCAGAAACATTAATTAATGAAGCACAGAAGCAATCTCAAGGGTGACCGGAGCGAGATCAGCAGTAATAAATGATAATACAAAAAACAACATAAGATAAACCAGAAAATAACTAGAGCATAGAGGGGAAAGAAAGAAAAAGCAAGCAAGCAAGCTAACATGTATTAGAACAAGTAAATATAAACAACAAAACTGAACTTGGACCACACGCATCGTATGGCTAAGATTTTCCAGAGTGTCAGCAGAAAGTCAGTACATCTGTAGAAAGTTTAAGCATGCCCTTCATCCTGGCTTTTAAGTCTTTCCATTGGTGTTGAACAACCTTCTTAGCTGCTGCCCACATACAGTAAAGCTTAAGTTCAATAGGTTCCAAACGTTTAGAACATAATTCAACTTCACATTATCATCACTATTTCTTATCGAAGCACCATGTTTACAAGCCTGTGAATATTACAGCAATAGTTCAACACAGAGCAGACCCTACCAATTATCTTCCTTCTGACACATTAACTTCCAACATGCAGAAGTTGAAACCCAGCCCTTACTACCCACCCTCTTAAAGTGTCCAATATACTAAAAAAAGACTATTTTATTGAAATATTCCCTAATTTAACATTCTTTAAAACCCTAACCAAGCACCTTGTTAAAGCAGGATCTTCCAAACTGTCTGCATGGTTCTCCTGTCTATCTTCACACAATTTGTTAACTGTGAATATACATTAACTGTAAGGTTTCTTTTTATAGATTAAAAAGCAAGACAAAGAATTTTTATCTGCATTTTAGTGCAAATTTAATTTCACACTTCTGGGTATTGTGGCAGTGTCCTCCAATTAAAATATGCCCAAAAACTTTAATAAAATAAAAATAATATTAATATTTTCCTTAATGTTAATAAAATTATTAAAGGAAAATTATAATATATACATAGTGTGGTCATAAAGCACAAAACTTTATTAAATTAGGGAAAAGCTTGAAAATGTGAGTATATTATACAAAAGTGTGCGCAAAATTAGTTTATTAGGAGAAATGCATATAAAAATAGATTTTTTTGTGCACATTTAAAAAAATTCTTAATCTGATATGATGAGATGAGCCCATCATCATTAATCACGTCAAAGAATGGA